GCTGAAGCAGCTGTGTCACATCTTTAACCTCTTCACCTACCTCCCTCTATGAAGCAGGCTGTCATTAGATGTGGGAAGGTAAGAGCGTTCATGCTGTCCTCAGGAGTAAATTAAAGTCACTAATTACAGTTGAATTTGCTGTTTGCTGACTCACCTTTATTCCACAGTTGGAAAAGCAGCTGTAAAGCAGCATGTCCCCAAATGTGGGGCATGACCACTTTGAAAACGTTGCAGAGCTCTAGCCAGAAGGCACAAGAGATGTGTATATTGAATTTTTTATTGAATTTTCTTTGTGAGTCTCCTTTTCCAAACCACAGAAGTGTAGTATGAAGTCCTGCGTGTGATGCGTGGCCTCAGTTTATCAGATGGTCTTGGTATTGCATCACTTGACTGATGTGATAGGTGTCATAGATGAGATTTTGTAGAAGAGGATGATTCTTTGTGGTCTCTGTCTTCTATTACCATATGGAATAAAATGAGGCTGAATCTTCCTTACACTCTACAAGCATCTTCTCTGCTCCATGAGAATGCAGCCATTGCTGAGTGATGCAGTAGGTTTCATTGTCTCTGTACATCATGCACATTCAGCAGTTATCAGTAGGCAAGTGTCCTTTACCTGAATCTGTTTCCTTAAATTTTGTTGGTGGCTTTCTTAAATCTTGTTTCTACCATTGCTGCAGGTCACCTGGTTTCTCTTTCATCCCTCTGAGGCCTTTGCTTGCTTTAAAGCCAAAATAGAACTAGCAGGAGGTGTTAGCTACTTTGATACCTTTTTCTTTGTTACATCATCACACTCATAAAGCTTCTTTGAGAGACTTTATATGAGTTACTGGATTTCTTTAGGATAAAATGTGCTTTGTTTTGTATTTTCATAAACTTCGCTGTCATCAAATTTGGCCTCTTAAAATTTGCAGTAAATTAAGGTGAAAGACTGGGGAATATGAAAGGAAGAAACATACAAAGAAGAAAACTATGGAGAAGTCAGTGTTAAAGATGCTTTATATTGCTGACATTTTGTTTGTGCTTTCTGTGGTTTATGCTGTCTCAGTAATAGCACAAACTGTTCCAGGTGTACACTGATACACTCTACTTGTACTGTGATAGCGATGGGGGAAATAAAATTATTCTTTCCTAGCTTTTTTATTTTATCATTCCATTGTTGCCCTCAGAGTGGTATCTCTAATTGCAGTCAGACAGTAAACTGGATCATGGATTAATGTATTTGAAGTTAGATAGCTCAGAAGGCACACAGCTGAGGGAAATGAAGGATCCCCAGTTTCCTCTTGGCAAGCCCAGACATCATGCAGTTCAGCTAGTTAGTGGCTGTATTACGAGTACTGACAGGTTTTGAATTCGCTGGTTTGTAAATCACAGTGTTGAAGATGGCCTTCCATTGGGTGTTCAGTGTTCCATACCTTTCGGCAAATTACTCCCCTTTTGGAACATCCATCCAATTTCCTAGCGGGAAACACAGTTGCTGGGATGAGAGGTGACATACAAAGCTGTAAGGCTCTAAGCATATGCATACTGCAGTATTTCAGAGGAAGAATTGTTTTTGCCTGTAGAAGTGTTGAAATCTGTCAAGGAGTGAGTCTAGTGAGAGTAACTGGACTGACAAAGTAAGAAAGTACTGATTTGTATGTGAAAAAAAGCACTGGGTACTTTGACTCATGTTCTGCTCAATTATATTTAAATCTTTCATCATACAAATTCTTGCTTGACCTTCCTTATATTTACTCTCTGATATTGCTTACACACTCTTGTCATTGGATCAAATGCTGTGGTGTTGTACAGGTTTTATGCACATTTCATCATGTGTTTCTTGTTGGTTCGTGGCAGAAACTGTCTCGAGGATGTGGAGATAAGGAGGAATTGGAAGAAGGATTTATTATCCTGTAGTGGTAGTTTTCCATTCCTTAAGCTAGTATATCACCTTCAACTGAGTGAGTGATGGATCCCATGGCATCCCTTTTAGCTTGTTTATGTTTTTGTTTCCAAGTATCATCGGTTACAAGGTACCAACATTGAGCACTGGCATCCAGTGGGTGTTCAGTGTTAATTTTGGAGAGTGAAAAATATATGAGATTGTCCATCTGCAAGAGGATCAGGAGCTTGGGAAGTGGTCAGAAAGCATGAGAGTTATTCTGCCTTGCAGTTCTAGTGTGTACAAAATCTGGGTGAAGTGGAAGGGTACAGGGCACTCGAGCTTCTTGAAGACAGGATAGGCTTAAAAACGTAAGTCCAGCAAGTGTCTTTAAGAAGCCAAGGTATTGAAATAATTGTCATCCTGATTTTGAAATTAGACTCCTGCCTGGTGAAATTAAATAATGCAAAATACAGAATTTAAGATTTTAATTCTTCAGAAAAAGTAACCGAATGTAATTATTCTGAGTATGAAATAGTATTATTTCAAAGTACTGAGTGTTGAGTAGAGCTGAGATTACGGAACAGGGAAGCATTATGTTCTTTCCAATCAGTGATTCTCATCAGTATGCTGTGCAAACAGCTTCTAGGTAGAAATTTTCTCTGTTTATTCTCATGCTTTATCATGTCCTATGTATCATGCTATTTTTGCAGACATGGACTGGATCGATCTAATACATAACACATTATTTGCAGTGGAATTTCCATTACCAAAGTGTTACAACTTGGATTTCACCATGGAAGTGGACAAAACCTTTGCTCGTAACCAGATTTTCCGTACTTCCTTGTGCATATTTGTTTCAATGCCTTTAATAGTAATTTCTTGTGCTGAGTTAATGGGGCACTTGGAGTCCCATAGTGAAACTGGAGAGACAGGAATACAACTCAGCTTTCTTGCCCAGCTTCTTACTAGCAAATAAATGGCAAAAGTGGTCTGAGGCTTTGGCTTTGTTTGGGTCAGACCTTTCTTAGCTTCTTGCAACACAGGACCACAGGACCTGCCTTTTAGTGCTCTCAGCAGTTCTGCTTCACTTGCAGTCACTGAATGCAGTTCTGGGTATTGGTGTGAGTAAACCTCAAGTGCGTGTTCTTCTCTACAAACAGCAAGCAAAAAGCTTAAGCCTCACAGGTGAAACCTTCTCTTCAGTCTGCTCTGCTGGCGTGTCCAAAGTCTTTGCTCATTGCACAGCATACTTGATTTTGTTCCCTATTGATGAGGGCGTTAGCAGCAGGACATATGTGTAGTGTCTGCTCAGTTTTTAAAAATATCTTTTACTTTCTTTGCTGGCTTCTTTCATTGCATATAGAAAAATCTGGTGCCCACCTGTAAAGCCTAGGGGCTGTACATTGCTCCCTGATTTTCAAGGGATTTAATGCATGAGATGCTTGACTGAATAAGTCCCTGTACTGTTACATTCTTCTGCTTCCCTACTCAAACACAAAAAAGGTGTTTGAAACACCTGGAGACATGTTATTTTGCAGTTCCACTGTGTGTGCATGTTATTTTTTTTCCTAGCTATATCAAATAGATACAAGGAGTAGGTAATAGATATAAAAATACTACAAGATGTGTATGTGGGTCTAGAAAGATATATTTTTCCCACAGGATGTAATTCCTGATGCCTACTCTGTGCAGCATGGTTTATGGCCCTAGAAGACATTTGTCAGCCTTCACTTGCAGTCCTGTGGATTAAAATTTCAGCTTTACAAGCTTTACCTCTCACCTGTGAGCATGAGAGGGCTCAAATACCAACTTGAATTTTTTTGCAGCACCTACTGTCTTTTTTTTGTGTGTGACAAGTGACAAGTGGGTTTGCAGGGAGGAAGAAGAGGCAATTAATGAAGATTAATGGATTATTTTGTCTGGAAAAGCTGACATTACCTTTTTGTGGATTTGGATAGCTTCCTGCCTTTTCATTGTCCTTCCAACAAGGCATTTTAAGTGCTAATTATGAAATGCTGATGGAGTAAAACTTGTGAAATCCAACTGGCTGTGCCAGAACTGTACTTTAGCATACCCTAAGTCTAGTTTTCCATTGAACTTAATGTGATGAATAAAAATAAAGGGGCTAAAATGACAGCTCATGTCCTGTGTTTATCATGTGCAGTTGTGTTTAACATACATGGGGGCAGGAGGAGGAGAGATTGAGTCCCACTGTGTTCTCCCAGGCTCTGCAATGCTCAATCATGACAGAATGAATTAAGAAAAAAACTTAAAGCCAGCAGGCTCTCAAGCTTTGTAAGCAAATACCATCTCTAGCATAATGCACAAGGAGGGGAGTGTGATGGGGGCTAACAGTTCATTTTTATTTTGTTGCAGATTGCCCGTGTACATAGAGGAGAAGGCTCTAAATACCCTAGCATACCTGTGTGATGGTGATGCAAGGACTGGACTGAATGGGCTCCAGTTAGCAGTTCAGGCCAGGTTAGCAGTGGGGAAGACCACTCCTTTGAATATTCCGAAAGGTGGTTCTGCAGATGGCATTCTGATAACAGAAGAGCATGTAAAGGAAGGGCTGCAGCGATCTCACATCCTTTATGACCGAGCAGGTGAGTACCTGTTACAGTTTTGGAGATATGCAGCATTCTCAAAAGCTGATAGCCTATATCATTTCTGTTTCTTCTTTCACTCTCATACCAGTTGCTCTGGTGAGATAGTGATTGTACTGAAATTTCGCTTAAAAATTACTTCTTCCTACAGTGTAGCAGGCTCATGCAGAAATTTCTTTTAAACAGGATTTCCTTTCACCACTGAGGAAGCACAGGTTAGGTGAGAGGCATGTTTGCTCCTCTGCAAACAATTGCATGGTGAAATTATTTGTTCCTTAAGATTTTTATAATATTTTCTAAGACAATTGCAATGTAAAAAGGGGCAAGTATTTTGATGAGAAGATTTGTTCTTGGAGGGTTGGAAATCTTCCACTGTACTTGAACTTCTCCAAGTCTTGAAAGTGCTTACTTTCACAACAATAGATTATGTGAGAACGTGAGCAGTTTCTTTATTTTTAGAGTTGCTTTAATTAATTTTGTAGCTTGCTTAGGGATGGTCACGTAAATCAAATTGCATTTAAGGCTTCCTAATGTGATAACCACTCTTGCTAAATTTGTGACTTGACTTGGCAATGTTAGGCATTGCAGTAATTGGCCACCATAACTTTTTATGTAAGAGAGTTACAAATGAGAGAGTGAGTATTAGAGATTAGGTGAATATCCTTGAATGCATATGCTAGTTCTTCAGCAGTACTTGAATCACTGTGCAGGATAGTGTCAAACAATTGTGCCAAGCAGTGTTTGGAGAAGTGATTGATTTTTGCTTTTCCACTGATATGCTCAATATACTGCCGCTTCTCAAAACCTGTGATAAGAGATTCCTCGAGGTTGTTTGTAATTTATATTCTTGCTTGCAACCTTCTTGCTGCAAAGAGGAAATGATGGTGCATTGTCAGGAAAAAGTCAGCTGGGCAGATATGGATATAATGGCAGCTGAGAAGTTTTGGGTAGGCAGGGGGGCAGAGAAGAAAAATACAAATGATAAATCTCAGAATAATTGCAGGATTTTGTCTCACTGTCTTATGTGGTAACATAACTTCAGTTATGATAAAGACTGGGAATGTGTTAAACTGAAGTTAATTTATTTTATTATGTAGAAGACAATTGTTCCATCCTCTTCTTTGGAGGAGGAAAGAGAAAGTATCTCACACCAAAATGTTCTAATGTTTCTTGTGGACCAGAATGAGAAGGTTTTTAGCCATGCTGTTGCTCTTGTCAATCTTCCAAGGCTTTCTTCTGCCTTTTATGAATGAGCAGTTGATGTTTACCCTTGGCTAATACAGGAAATAATGTGACATAGGGACTGTGATTTTACTTTTGCCCACTACCTTATAAACAGGGATATTAATGTTGGTCAGTGAAATTCAGATATTAATTTTGGTCAGGCCTTATCCCTGTCTTCTGCCAATAAGACTTTAGATAAATCAGCATCTTAAATTAGCTGGAAAACTCTTCATGAGCACATAAAGCAATTTAGGGGCATAAATCAACAAGATTTATGCATCTGTATACATTTGTCACTAGAAAATCCTGTCCTTCACAAAGCCTCGTATGTACTATCTTCTTTCTTTTTGGAAAACTGGGAACTGCATAGAGAAAATGTATTTTGATTCCAAAAACTGTTCAGCGTTTTGACTTCAAGAGGTATCTGGGATGCAGAACAGCAGTGATAAGTTAGCATGTGTCTGTCTTTTAATAGAATTGATAAGGCCAAGATCTATATGTTGGCTCACCAGCCTGAGAGACAGAGCTAATAAAAAAAGGTCTGTAAAACATTCTATGTTTTTTAAACTGCTTCTACTATCTCACATAGGATATACATAGAAATTGCATTTTTTTAAGAAGAAACAGAAAGCCTTTTTGTCTGGTGCATGTAACTGTACTTAGTCTTTAATTTAAACTGCATTTAAAGTACAACTGCACAGCTTTTCTGAAAAAGTCTTAAGTCTGGTGTATAAGTATTGTCATTATCTTTGTGAAGAAGGAGATAAAGGGAGAAAACTGTCCCCTTTCTCAGCCTGCATACTCCAAAGTCCCCTGCAGGTATGTATCTCTAGTCCCAACCTATCTGCTGGTTTCTTTCTGCCTCTCCAGTTGGTATCCCCAAGTGTGACACTTTACAGTAGCCCAAGCAGTGTATAAAAGCACTCCAGCAAAAAAATCCGGGTGAGTGTATCCTCTCTAGAGGTATTTAAAGGCCATCCTCCTTACTTTTAAGAGACGAAGAGACGCCTCTTCCAAGAGGACGGTGCGAGTTCAGCTGCTTGGGTTTATTGCTACTAACTCATGTGTTGTGACAGAGCATGGACATGCTGTTTGTGTTGGCACGAGCAAGGACTGCATACCAGAGGGCTCTTTGTGTAGAGCCCCAGCAAAAATAGCTGTCTGCCAGCCTGCGAACGCCGGCACCGCATGTGTTGAATTCCCCACAGAGCCACACTGCAGCATGAAGAGTGACACGGGGAGAAGCACCCAGTTTCTGACCTGGGAGGTGGAGGTCTTGTTTGCTGTGAAAGGAGCAATTGCAGTGGTATGAGGGCTTTGGTTTTTAAGACTTAAGCATGTGGCCTTTTATTTTGTAGGGCCTACAAGCAACACTGAAGTGTTCTGATACAGCCCTGAGACTGTAAATCCTTTCAACCGTAGGAAGAAGAGAAATATTAACAGATGGCTGAGCATGCAGCCAGTTGCCTTTATAATACACACTTAGCTGGGAGCCAAGGAATGCCAGGCACTTTAAAAAATAAAAAAGGCAGATTATATGAGAAGTTTAACAACAATATTGCAACAAAATGCTCTTACAAGTTTAGTTAAAAGAAGTGCATAAGAATCAAAACCAGCTGTACAGAGAAAAATTTCAAGCAGAAAGGACCTTGTTCAGTGTTTGTGAGGTTGACCCTTTATTTTTAACTGTAGCCCTAAAAGATCTGTGGAATGGCTTTGTTTCTCCTTGGAGTCTGTATCTAATCTTATATTAAACTTCAATGTTAAAAAAATTTCCTTTTACTTCATTCAGTCTTCCCACTTATTATATAGCAATCTGGCATTTTAGGTTTTGGTTGTGGGGTTTTTATTTCAGCTGCTTACAGTTTTCAGGACTCTTTCGGTAGTACAGGTGTCCACAACTGAACTCAGCATTTCCTAGGGGTTGGCCAGAGTTGTATGCTGTGATCCCATTTCCTCCAGATTGTGTAGTGTGCCATCATTATGTATCCACAGCAGTGTTGCCTTTTCTTACCCTATATAATACAGCAAATTCATGTTTGATTTACTGCATCTTTTATTTTCACATTCTAGTTGATGTGAAATTTGTCTTCATAAAATAGCACTAGTGTATGGGACTGGATTTATCTGATTTTTCTGTTGTCTTCTTAAAGACAATGGTCAGTGGTTTGGATGTGCTCACACTTTATTCCTTGTCAATTATGAGATATTTGATACAGAGTTTTCTTCCCAAATGTGTAAAATATCTGTGGTTTTTTTTTTCTATTGAAGGAAAGGTTGTTAGGTACCAAAATCAACTTTGAACACTTCCTTACAGTGTTTAAAAAACACCATGCTCTTCATCTGCAGTTGCTCTGTTATGCTTATGTAGTTAATGGAATGATCCATGTTGGCAAAGCATGAAGGTGTTGAGAACATTATTGGACACCATAATCATATATATATACTTAAAAAGAACTTGAAAAAGCAGACTGTTTACCTGTTGTGATCTACTGAAATATATTGTTCCTTTAAACGCATTTAACTTAATTTCCTCCTAAGAGCTCTGAGTATCTCTTCTCCCCTGTTCTAAATAGGAGAAGAACATTACAATTGCATCTCTGCCCTGCATAAGTCTATGAGAGGCTCTGATGAAAACGCTTCCCTTTACTGGCTTGCTCGGATGCTTGAAGGTGGTGAGGATCCACTCTATGTGGCAAGGAGGCTGGTGAGGTTTGCAAGCGAAGATATAGGTCAGTATTTGAATTATTTCATGTTGCAAAAATCATGTTGAGTTCTGCCAGGCTTCTGGTTTCCAAAAATTGCTGTTTTAGTAAAGAAACAACCCCGGAGCTGCTATATGCAAAATAGGTACAAAATACTGAAATGCTCCACATCCAACAAAAACTTTGTATATGCCAACAGAGTGCCTACATGTGGTGTCATTGCAATGATTACCAGTTGCAGGAGAAACAAAATACTTTTTAGATCAGGCTTTGGCAGTGTATCAGTATGGATTCTTTTAAACTCAGGTGCTATAGGCCACCAGTAACTTGTGTCACAGAAAATATGTAATTTGGGGATGTCTGGTTTTTTACATGACTCTAAAAAGTGAATGCCTACCCTGACTTGCAAACCTCGGATTTGATAGCTGGCTCCCCAGATACAAGGCATCTTGATTGACTTACCCAAAGTAACAGATGAACATATATGAGGGGTGAAAAGTTACAAGATCTGGGGAAGCTATGTCTCTATAGCAATAATTCCCCATTTCTTTGTCAATTCCAAAAAGTGAATTATACACGGGCAGCTCAGGCTGCCACCGTGTGGCAACAGGAGCCATTATTTAAACCTTTCTTTTGAGGGCCAGACAGGAATGTGGATGGAGGTAGTGTATCTTATATAAGTATTGTACCAGAAGTTCCAACATCTGCAAAAGCAACTTTGAAATGTGGATGGATAACCTTCCATCTTATGGGAGGGGAAAAAAAAATTAAAAATAAAAGACTAAGTAAAGTAAGTTTGCTTTAACCTGCTTTCCTCTGAATCCATTTTGTAGGGCTGGCAGATCCTCTGGCTTTAACACAAGCAGTTGCTGCTTATCAAGGCTGTCACTTTATTGGAATGCCAGAATGTGAGGTAAAGGCTTCATTAATTCACAGATTTAAAAGTACTGCAAACTGTAAAACAAATCTGTAATTATAAAAAGAAACTGAGATTGCAAGGACAAGTCAAATTTAGTTACTTGTTCATTCAGTGCACCCCCCTTCTTTGACAAGTAAGAAAGCTCTTAAAATTATGTAGTTTGAAATTAAATTCACAGCTTTATTGTTAAAACATTGTATGTGAACTAATGGCATTTTGCTCTATTTTGTTCCCTCTTTGTTATAAATAAAATAGTATATTCTGATATTCTGAAGTAGCTGTTCCTTTCTAGTAGTGAAAATTGTGAAGAGCTGTGGTGTTAAATAGCAATATTCATACTAGCAGGCAGAGGTCAGTTTAAAGTGTAATCCCTGTCATGCTACACAAACAACCTGAATAACAGACCTTTTCCCAAAGAGCTTAAAAGTCATTTAACATGTTTCTTTTATTGTTTCCAGGTCATTCTAGCACAGTGTGTAGTGTATTTTGCCAGGGCACCAAAGTCTATAGAGGTCTACAGAGCATACAGCAATGTCAAAGAGTGTCTGAGAATGCACACAGGACCTCTGCCGCCTGTTCCGCTGCATCTGAGAAATGCCCCAACAAGGCTCATGAAGAACTTAGGCTATGGTAAAGGCTATAAATATAACCCCATGTACAAGGAACCTGTAGAGCAGGACTATCTGCCAGAAGAGTTGAAAGGAACAGACTTCTTCAAGGAGCAGAAAACATGACTGTGTTGCTCGGAGTTGATTTTGATTTCATGACTCAGGCTGGAATGTACTGGGATGGAAATTCTCCTTGCAGTTTTAGCCTCTATTACTGTGGTTGAAAGTATTAAACCACTGAGCCTTTCAGGTATTTTCTTATCCTTCTGGTCTTAACTGCTGTTATTCTGAATGTGTTTCGTAAAGTATTGCAGTTAGGCAGTGTAGAAATACAAGAATAGGCTTTATCAGTGTAGTGCTGTCACCCTGTGGCTCAGATGAAATGGAGAAGAAATCAGATTGTATTTCTGGCTCTTGCTGTGCTACAAGGAATATGATTGTGCTGCTTTTTAAAAATCAGTATCTGTTTCAGATTTTGAGAATGTTTATTTTCTGAAAAAGAGTAAATTGTACCCCCTCTGCTAAAATACATTTAAAAAAAATAATCACAGTGTAGTTATTGCTCTTATGATGTTCCAGAGACTAATTTTGTACAACAACATTTATTAAACCAATAAAGCTGTTAAAAATAGCGTCTTTGCATTTCTTTGAATATACTTATGACAGCAGCATGTTTTTGAAAGTTTGAGATTCCTTTAACTTTATCATCCCTACTTTGCAGAGTGAGATTAAATCCTTCTGGTGGTGGAATAGTAATGAAAATAACTGAATTATATTAGTTTTTGAAGGCATATGACTTAAAATTTTTATTGTGTGGTGACATTTTGGGAAGTGTTTTTGTAAAGGAGTCTTCTGGTAGTGAAATACACTTACGTATTTCCAGTTGTGCTTCAGGAATCCCAGCAGCTTTGAATTGGAAAGTGGAGAGACACAAGTTGACTTCCTGCTGTTACAGAGTTTGGCTTCCTTTTCCTACTGAAAACGTATCTCCATCCAAGATTGCTGTTGCCTGAACATTTCAGTGAGTGGAATGTACAGCCTCGGAAGCGTCCCTGATGTTGACAACATTCCTTCACTTAAGTGCTGATTATTTTTCTTCTCCTCAATCCTTCTGAAGTGTACAGTGGCCCAGTGTGCTGAAAAGCCAGCAACTAAAAGAGTGTACGACCGTGCTAATCAGCAGTTGGATAGCAGAAGACAACCATGTTTGGCTAGAATTACAGCAGATAATTAGCAAAGAAGGTTTTCATTACTGACAGGCTGAGAAGCCGCTGGGGCAACTGTCCACAGTTCTCAAAGTGCAGTAGAATAATCTGGCTACCAGTGCTAAGGAGATGTGCCTTTGCTGAAAATTGCCACCAACACAGCAGCACAGCACAGTTACAGCTGGATTTGCTTGATAACTACTCAGGATTTGCTTACTGCATACCCCATGTACCTTTGTTACTGGGCCCGTACTGTTTACCTGATGGACTTCAGGGGATTCCTGTCCTGATCCTGCTTAGTTTATAAAATGTGATGAGGTCAAAACTTAGTGCTTTATGTAGATGCTTCTGATCTTTTTGCTGTTCGACTATGAATGCTGTGGTCCTGCTAAAAGAGGGAAGATGTTCTGCTGTCTTCCCTGAGAGGTGTCAGAAGGTTACTAACTCTCCTCCCAAAGGATTGCTTAACACAGGTTTTGGATTTTTTTAATAATACCAAATGATTTGGGGTTCTTTTCTGGTCTGTTGACTTAATAGTGACTAGTGCTTCCTTTACAGTATTTAACAGATTTAACAGATTTTCAAGATTTGTATTTGGCTGATGTGGGAAACTGTTCTTCCCCCCCCAGTATTGGCTTGCAACATCTACCTAGTTAAATTCATATATAAATACTTCATTTTGAGGTAGAGGAAGAAAACTGGTTTGCACTGAAGCCACACAGAGCTGCTTGCACTTCCCTCAAGCTGTACATGTGATACAGCCCAACTACCTGCTGGTCAACTCCCTGGTATATAAAATTGCAGGCAGGTGTTTCTTGACAGCAGAGGTGTTTGGTGCTGTAGGGAGCTTAGATCAGACAGGATGCTACACTGCACACATGCAGTTCCTCCAGAGCAACTTTCACAGACCAGGAGGTCTATGGTCCCAAGGATGCAGCAGGAAATTCAGCTGATTACTCTTTTTGTTCCAAGATAGGTTGCTGGACAAAACAGGATGGCCTTGATCAGAGGTTTTCAATATCGAACCAGCAAAACCTTATGCTGACAGTCCATGAAGAAACTTTCTGATCACTGTGTACTCTTGACCAAAGGGTATTTGTATTGAAGGTAAATTTTGCTGTGAGGCATCCAGCTCAGTAGTCTTCATGCTAAGTTCTTCTGCATGATAAAAATACAGAGCTTAAGCCAAGAATTGTGGTCTAACTAAAATGTTTCAGAAATTAAACTGATTGCAATGCTATGTACTGCCAAGGGGTTTGAATCAGATTCTTGAAGTGTTCTTGAATAAGTACCTGTATTCTTCACAGCAGGATGGTTTAGTGGAGTAGAAGCAACTTCTTTTGAGTTTGTTTCTGCCCTTTCAAGATACGTAGAAAGCTGGGAACAGGGGTGCAAACATGGATTGTATTAATTGAAAATATTCCTGGCAAAATTACTTGTACAATGTTTTTTTTTTAACCAATGCTCATTTTAACTCTTAAGATGGAGATAATTGATGTACTTTTTAAATGGCTCATAATTAGCAAGGTGACTCCAGCTTGCAAAACAAATCAATGAATTGGTAAACCTAAAGATGTTTGGGGTTTTTTTTGTCTTACAGGTGTACAAGAGGTCCGTGTGTTTCCCTTTGATGCAACCAGCAGTTAGAATTGTTGGACTAATGCAGTCTAAGGTATTTTTCTGTTCTTATTTTCTTCCTTTAGCAAAAAGAAGGATAACATCACCAGATTTTCTTAACTTTGCTAGTACCTACTAGTGCTCAAATCTCTTTCTCTATAAACCTTTACCCATGGGAAAACACAGACTGTCATTTCTTGCCTGTGGTTGACAGAAGTCTTTAGTCAAAGCCTTAACGTTCTATTTATAGCTCTTCTTTTTAGTTATTGAAGACTTGAACAAACTTCCCTTGTTACAAAAAATGGTGTCTGAGATGTTGCAGCAAAAATTGCACAGAAGTGCTGCAGAACAATTATGCCCCATATGCCTCTCTAGTGCCCCCTGTCCTGGAGCAGCTTGGTGTATTCAAGGTGGATCTGATGGAAATCTTCTGTGGTGGTCTACACTCAGCAAAGATTTGGTGGAGTTTAGCTGACAGTCTCTATCAGCCAAAAAATCTGTGGCTCTAGATGCTACAGCTGGTCCAGCTGTGCAGAGGTTATTATTTTCTCTGCAGTTTCTCTCCTGGGTTGCTTGCAGGCCACTGCAAAATTGCAAATAGAGGCTGTCTCTGCTGTGCTCTTAGTGGTCTTGTGATGGTCTTGCTTCTCTCAGGCAGGGAAAGTGCAGAGGAAGAAGATTAGCATTGCTGAGCTTGCGGCTGATAGGAAGAAAATTAACATATGCTACTGCATGGAGAGTGGAAGTGAGACACTAAGAAAGCCTTGCAGGTAAGACAAAGTAATTTAAAAGCGGTTATTGACTGTAGCTGCTTGTCCCCTTAAATGTGGGCTAAAAATTTCTGCATCAGTGGAAGCAAGAGCTGTAGGTGACAGGAAACTGAAACAGTGCTGTATACTCTTGTACAACAAATACCTCAGGAAGATGGTCTACGGGAGACTTGTGTATCCTCTGGAATTGACAGAAATTGCTGTTCAAGCAAATACAGGGGCCTTTTTCTGCCCTGGTCTGAGTAGAGTATGGTTCTCCCTTTGTAAATACTTAGTCTGTGTTCCTTTCTCCTACCATTGGCCTCTAAGCACTCGTGAATTATCCAGACAGTGCTATACTGTACTCCTTCTGTTCCTTGGAAGGAGACAAACACCCATAATCCTATGTGGAGCCTTGGTCTTTTCCTCATCTACCACCTCACACTTCCATCTCCAATGTGTGACATGATACATAAATATCATTTTATAATGCATTGTGATGTTAAGGAAAAAGGCTAAGGGATCTATTGTCCACACTCACCTACTGATGATGAGGCTGTGCCTGTTCAAGGGCAAAAATGCTCTGGTCAGATATATCACAAAGGTAATAAATGAAGTATTGTGTCCTAATAGATAAAGTATGACTTAAATGGGTGTGTGGGGATGGAGATGTTGGCATTGTCTTTCCTGTAATTTTACAGACAAGCTAGGCTGCAATAGAAGTTGCAGAAGATTGTTACTTAACTACTCAAAAAGAATCATTCCTTATTCCTCACATTACAGAGAAAATACTTTAACTCTAAACCATAAACTGTTAAGTCTGTCAGATGTTTAGTGGGGGCATTGTGTTTTATCTGGTAAAAACCTGCTGAGATGGGTGAAATCATAATATGACTAGATTTATTTAATTTTTTTGAATGCTTACGGTGTCCCATAATAAAGATTAACTGACTTTTAAAAAAAAAAAAAAAAGAAAAAAAACCCCAAGAAAAACAGATTAGGACCTTTAGGGTAGTACTAGAATCATAAACTATAAATGTTGTGAACCGACGACATCACTAGCGCGCCGCTGGAAGTCATCGGTTCGCAACAGTATCACACCAAAAATTCTCACACTTTGTAAAACTTTTCCATGACCTTTTATGAAGCAGTGCGTAATAGCCAGAAGATGATGGAGGTCTGAGGTTAAATGCAAAGTGACTGACCAGGGTGACACATGTACTAATGCAAGAAGCAAGGCTTTCCATATCTATGAGGGCTTAGATATAACAATTTACATTCTGCAGCATGCGTATGAGAAGTCATTACCTAGAAGAGAGGATGTATTGCTTAGTTATAACCCATTAGGAGGCTACAATTATTTTTAAGGCCAATTTAGCTAAAGATTTGCTTACTAACAAGCACTGCAGACAGTAAAAAACCATGGGTTTATCTTTCTTTGCTGGGCTGGTATTTAGAGAACAGAAAGTGCTGCTGTTCGGGTCAGATATTAGAGGACATTCCCAGTGCGTGCTTCATGTAGTATGCTAGGCAAAGTGTGAAGACAGGTTTAGAATTACTAGCAAGACATTTCAGACTCTTATTTGTGGTAATGTTAGCTTTTATCTGTTGCAAGAAATTAAAACTATGAGCATAACTGGGGTTGGACACACAGTGCCAAAGGTTTTGGTCAA